GTATTTAAAAATAGCGGGTAGAGAGGATTCTGAGTGTTTTCAACACAAATAAGTTTCTGAGGTGATGGGCGTGCAAATTACCCCAAACTGACCGTTACGCATGGGATATGGTATTTTGTATGTTTAAATATCACACTGGCTGGGCGTGGTGGCATATGCCTGTAATCCCAGCCTGCAGCAGGCTGAGGCAGGAGAGTCATTGTGAGTTCAAGGCCAATCTGAGCTACATAGTGAGACCCTGCCTCCAAAATAAATACATAAATAAATAAATATCAGACCCTGTACAGGTAATATTTAGCAGAAACCTAGAATGTCCTCCAGTGACATCTGGGTGCATACTAATGCTGGAAGATTGGGTTGAAATCATCTTTATTACTGAGATTTCTCATACATTTCCAGAGCCAGACTTACAGAATTCACTTTTGGGAGCATAAACGTTTGCTATTTATTCTATTCTGTTTAAAATAACTAGATAGCATTTTATTTACCTAGCACACTCCTAAGATGCTAGTGTCTTGGTTACGTCTCTCTCACTGCTGAGACAAAATACCTGACACCCAAATAAAAGAGGGCAAGGTTTCTTCAGCTCACAGTCTGTGGAGGCTTCAGTCTGTAACCAGCTGGCTCCAACGCAGGGTGACTTGGCACAGAGGCAACAGTTCAAGGCGGCCCAAGACAGAAAAGTGCAAGAGCAGCAAGAGGGAGAGCAAGCCTCTTTTCCTCCCTTACACTGTATGCAGGCTACCTGCCCTAGGGCGGGGTAGCACTCACACCATCTCTGTGCTCTTCTTGCACAGGCTCAGGATGCCCCCTCCTGAGTCAGTTAAACTTCTAAATCTCTCAAGTTGATGCAATGAACAACATCCTAGAGCAGTAAGGGCACGTCCTCTGCCCACTAAGATGTAGAACCGCTGAGTTACTTAGTTAAGCTTCTAGACTTCTCAAGTTGACGCAGTGTACCAACCATAACAGCTCAGAGCTAATCATTTGGGAGGGTTATTTTTATTTTGAGTTTTGTTGTTGTTGATTTTCCACCCTTAGGATAAAAGCTCACTGGTTCTATTTGAGTATAACTGATGCACAGTACCAGACTCATTTGCCCAATTATGTCTCAAAATATCCAAAGAACTACCCGTCTGAATTGTCCTCATTTTTTCTTCTCTGAAACTACTTCTTTTATCATACAAAATATGTACCTAGAAATTCAGGGTTCTATTTTTTAAATAGTTTTTTTCCTAAATAACTTTATTAGTGGGTTACAAATTACAAATACTCCATTACAAAATTATGTGACTCATGGAGAGTGTCCTATCTAACTTAATAGTCTCACATGGAACCTATTCACATTGCTTTTGTGTCAAAAAGGCCTACTAAAAATACAGGCTGACTCATGTAAAATCCCAGGTCATGATGGACATTTCAACCCAAAGTGAGTGGCAGAGGGTTGGACTTTCTCAAAATGCTATTCTTAAAAACAGAGATAAAAGTTAAGGAAAAAGTGCTTTTAAAAATTGTTCTTCTTAGCCAAGTGTGGTGCCACACACCTGTCATCCCAGCACTCGGGAGGCTGAGGCAAGAAGATCCTCATGAGTTCGAGGCTAGCTTGGGCTACAAAGTGCTCTCAAGGCCGGCTTGAACTGCATAGGGAGACTCTGTCTCAAAAAGAAAAAGAAACTGTTCTTTTAACAATCAGAAAAACTCCACTGCTAATGAATGACATAGGTGTTACCTTCAGTCCTATGAGAAAGTTAAAATATTTCTTAGAGTCTCTTCAAAGGGAGAGCATGGGCTGAGAACATATAGCTCAATGGCAGAGCACTTGCCCAGCATGTGCGAGGCCTTGGGTTTCAATCCCAGCAACACACACACACACACACACACACACACACACACACACACTCAATAAATAAAGGAGAACATTACAGGATGAATCAAATCAAGTCATCTTTTGGCTGAGTTTGTGTTGAATTTGCTAGAACAAAAGGTGGGGGAAACAGCTGAGCCGTTTTTCATACAAATGGAGCTAAGACTAGAAATCCTCCATAGGTCAATGGCTGGAGAAGCCCGTTTACCCCGTCACTCGTCCTGCTTGGCAAGCGCCTTGGCTGTGGATTGGGCTCACTGCGGGGCCCCAAGGGTAAACTTCGGTGACTTTGCTGTAATCTCACAAGTTGAGGCCTCAGCGAGGTTAGGCACTCTCAGGTCAAAGCCCTGGAGTGGTGAGGACGGGGATTTAGGGAAAGTCCAGCCACTCATTTAAACAGGGTCTGGGCTCCCCCAGGAGCACCCCATGGTTCCCTGGGGTGGCTACCTTCTCTCCCTTCGCGGGAGCTGCCACAGCTCCGCCTCCTCCTCCCCCTCCGAAGCTCACCCGGCAGGGCCCCTCTCCGACCCGAGTCGCTCTGTCACCCACTTCGTCCTGGAACTCTCGCTCCTATCCCGCACTCGCCGCCCTTCCCTCCCCTGCGGTCTCCTTTGCAGATCGCTGTATTCAACCTCACACAGCAAAATTCCTCGCAGCTCAAGGCGTACGCCCCTTTCCTTCTCACTTTCTGGCTTTCCTGGTGACTTCAGCCGTCTTTATGCCCACAGCTCCCACACTGGCGTTTCCTCCGCAGACCTCTCCTCTGCGCTTCAGCTGCGTGAGCTCTCAGGAAGTCCTCGAACACACACTGTCAGTGGACCCAGATTTTCTCTCCTGCAGGCCTGTGTTCAGCCTCTCAGTGAAAGGCGCTGTGATCCCTCAGCTGTGTAATCCAGCTTGGTTTGGTTGGTTTGTTTGTCTTTTTGAGACAGGGTCTTACTATGCAGCTCAGGTTGGCCTTAAACTCACTTTGTAGCCCAGACTGGCCTCAAACTCACAGCAATCCTCCTGCCTCAGCCTCCCAAGTGCTGGGATGACAGGCGTGTGCCACCACACCCAGGCTGGGCCTCGGTTTTTTGTTTTGTTTTGTTTTTGTACCAGGAATTGAAGTCATGGCCTCGTGCTTACCAGCAGGCACTGTGCTGCTGAGCTATATTCCTGGCCCTGGGCCTTGGTTTTGAACCTCTAGTCCCTTACCTCTGCTTCTGCCACCCACTTACATACAGGGCACGACCCAGCCCTTCTGAATATCTCTCTGGTGCACTCACTTCTCTGCTACTGCTCCTCTAAACCAGGCTAGGATCTCATCCTGCCAGGACTCCTGCAGGAACCACCTACCTGGCTTTGGGCGTCCTTATTTTCAGTCCATGCCTTCCAAGCTGCAGCCCGAATAATCTTGTAGAAGTGCCACTCTGATAAAGCCACTCAGGGGCTTAAAACCCCTCATCCACTCAGCATCACTGCCGCGGAAAGGGTCCGACTGCCTCTGCAGCCGTCTCAGCCCGGCTCCCCATTCCCTCCCCTCCTGTCGGACAAACTTACTTCCAGTTGCTTTAATGTGCCGGGCTCCTTTTCAGCCGCAAGGCCAGTGAAGCCTCGCCCCTGTTGGAAACCCTCGTCCCTGTGTCCTCCCGAGTGGCCTGGGTGATCCGATCGTCCGAGTCCTCCCTGGCCCGACCCTGAGCCCTGCCTCCTGCTCCGCACTCTCCCTCCATGGAAATCCCATTGTACGGCACAGTGACTCGATGAGTTTGTCTTGCTCACTTATCTGACCAATAGAAGCGGGGAGCGCATTTCTCTTCCATCTCCCTTTCAAGCCCAGCGGGGTGCCCGGCACGTACAGCCCCATAACAGTTGTTGATGGAATGAGCAAGTGATGGTCATAGCGAGATGCCCAGGGTCAAAGTGGCAGGGCTGGGACCACGGCCAGGTGCTCTCACTCCCAGTCCAGGTGGCCAGGCTTCTCAGCAAAGAGCCCGTCGGGAATTGTGCTCTGAGTCATTGTACTAACGCGACGTTACCACCCATCAGGCCAATGCTCCCCCTACCCTTCTCCAAGATGGTTATCAGCAAAGGCGTGCTGCGGGCACGGTCACTACGCCTTTCTCCACAGAGCACGTGCCCCCTTACTGCTGCGTTTGAAGGGTGGTACGGTAAGCCCTGCCACCATTTCAGACTTATAAAGCTTCCGAGATTCTAAGAAGAAATGCAAGGTGTAGGCAGAAAGGAATAAGTTTGTCGCTTGCAGTAGAATTTCCTGCTCGGAAAATGCTGTTAATTTGATCACCGCTGTCTCCAAGAGAACGTTCTGGTAGGGTCATCATCATCACGTTCCCAACTGCTGTGGATGTAACTTCCCTTAGCCACCGAAAAGGGAGGCAGCCACTTTGCTGTGGGGAAGTGCCTCGGGCGTTTTTATAAAATCCACATAAGACGTTTAGTGGTCATGGAGAGGCTGCTGTATTTTTAAGGTAAATAGGTTACCTCTGGGTAAGCTTGAGGATCTCAACTCTCAAGGGTCTTCGTGCCATGGATGAAGATGAAATCATTATGTGTGAACTCCCTCTGCCTACGTCAGTGACTGTGACCTGCAGCCGGCCCACTTGGTATAAGTACCGGCAGTCATCCAGCTGCTGGTGGCAGGGTGACCTCCCGGGCTGGCTGAAGCCACACTCCGGTAAGCTTCACTGCCCTTGTGCCCGTGCTGCCGGGGGTGGGAGACACTGTGTGAGCCTGCGGTGGGACTCGGTCCTCTACCCCAGATGTGCGTGCCGGGCATTTCTCAGTTTAGAGTGTGCGAGGTCGTTCTTTTCCTTCTTCTTTCTTTGCTTTTTCATTCTTCTTTAAGACCACTATCCTAAGACATAAGTAATTTAAGGTTTTGAAGTTCAGTTATGTTTTTAAGTTTTCACTTTCTCTGGGGACAATAAGGGATGCATTTTTTTTTTAAATGAAATGGGCGCTCTCAGAAGTTCGGGTTCTGGTCATCATGAACTATGTCACGTTAACCAGTGGGGTTTGGAGGGGCTCCTTTGCAAGTGAATCTGGAAAAAGAGGACAGCAAAACGTAGGTGACCCAGCGTGCCCTTCTTCCTTTCCCGTCTTCCTTACGAGGCTCCCCTTTCCCTGTCCTCCCTGGCCTTTCCCGGGAGCCAGTGCAGCGTCCCACCCCAGCCATCACTCAGCGTCCTGCACCATGCCCCGGGCGCCCCTCCTGCTGCTGTGCGTGGCCCTGGTGCTCGCAGGGCACATGCGAGGAGCCGCACTGAGAAAGGAAGACACGTGGAAGCCACTCAGCAACCTGAGGAACCGCGATCTGGTGAGGACACCTGGGCCTGTGGCTTCGGGTGGAACGACTGCCGCCTGGAGTTCTGCCCAGCCTGCTCCACGACGAGGAGACCCCGGGGCCAAGAAGGGGACCAGTAGGGCAGGGCCACAGTTTCGCTGGTAGAGCGGCTGGGGTCCTAGTATCTCTCAGGCCAGTTCACATTTGTTTCTGTAAGGAGAAACAAATTTGTATTTGTAAATGACCTTATACACATACTGAACATTATATCTGTCAGTGACCTTATACACTCGTTGACTTTTTTTATTGGTCTTTTTGAGACATTATGCAGTTCACTATGCAGGGTTTCATTATGCAGTTCAGGCTGGCTTTGAATTTGCTTTGTAGACCAGGCTGGCCTTGAACTCATGGGGATCCTCCTGCCTCAGCCTCCCAAGTACTGAGATTACAGGCATGTGCCACCATGCCTGGCTATTTCCTAACATATATACAAAGTCAGGAATGTGACAGAGAATTGCTTTTTGCATCACGTAGATAGAGCTGATGATAACTTTTTGTACAACAGATGAGCATTTTCAGAACTTCACTGCAAAACATGAAAATCGACCCAGTATTGTTATCAGCTTCCTAAGCATATTTTCAACATACATTTATCATTAAAATAGAATACAAAAGATCAGTAAAAGTTCTCTTTAGCAAGTATGGCATGAGGCCAGGAATTTAGCTCAGTGGTACAGTGCCTGCCTGGCAAGTGTGAGGTCCTGAGTTTGATTCCTGACACCAAAAAATAAAGTAAAATAAAATAAAAAATTTGGCAAATACAATAAGCACACTGAGACAACTATTTCAAATTGTAGTTCTTCTAAAGAAAATATGTGCAATTGACAGTGCAGAAGTAAAACAAATAGACAGCAGTGCTTGCTTCCAAAGAGAAGCCTGACAAGCCCATGCGGCAAAGAACGCTGCAGCTGGGATCTGCCCCGCAGACAGCAGCCACTGCGCCAGCCACTGTGGAGTGGATTCCATCTCTGATCTCAGCTCCCAGAGCTGTGTACAATGCAGCCTCCGCATGTGGTGCTGTCAAATAATTCACATTCCTCCCTCGGTCTTCCCCAGAATGGTGAGCTCTCTTGCTGTGGTTAAAGTGTCAGCAGCTTTGGAAAGTAGGCACGGGGGAGGAGAGTAGCCAAAGCTTGTGCGTCACACTTCTCTCTCCAAGTTAGCAAAGTCCTCGCTCCTTGGTTACTCAAAGTCAACAGGGTTTGGGGGACCTCTGAATATCCTTAGCATTTCACCTCCACATGGCGCTGAACATTTCCTTTCTCTCTTTAGTTTTTCAGAAGCCTTCAGGCATATTTGGAGAGCAGAGGTCTTGATCTTGGGAAATTTCCGAATGCTTTCTCCATTAATGAGAACCCAAGGCCGCTCTCTTTCCAGCCAGAGTTTCTTGCTTCTGCACTTGCAGACTACAAAGAACAGAAAAGCTCCTCCCCGGCAACTGCGAGGGCTGGCGGTCTCTTCTGAGCTCAGGTAAAAGTGGTGCCTTTGTTCCCAGCACCTCCCAAACACACAGCTCAGCCGTAAGTTAGAAATTTGGAAGGTATTTGTTTGAAAAATGATTTCCTTTCCTCCTAGAGATAAGTGCTCCAGTCTGACTGTACTCATTACTGTTAAATAATTGGGTTAGGTTCAGGTAGTTTAGAGTCTGGTTTTAAAAATAAATGATAGTTGTGATTTTTTAAACCATAGCTTTCTAGGGAGAAATATATTAAAATAATAGAATTGTCGATCTTAGTAGTATTATTAAGTTAGTGAAATGCACATGCTCTTATCTATACATATTTTTTTCAGGCCAGGTCATACAGCTAAGTTATATGGAAAAATCGTATCTAAGAAATATGTCAACCTGACCTGTTGGATTAAATGGGAAATGAAAGTTTAAAGAATGGTTCTTTTGGAGAGAAAGCAATATATATATATATATATATATATACTTTTGAGCCCAAATGTTCTGACTTAAAGAAAAATGAGGTAAATTATTAGTAAGGATGAGTTTTTCTAATAGAAAAAAATTTTAGTGTATTCATGGGCTGGGGATGTAGCTCAGTGGTAGAGTGTTTACCTAGTATGTTTAAAGTCCTGGGTTTGATTCTCTGCACTGCAAAAAAAAAAAACAAAACAAACAAACAAAAAAAACTAGTTGTGTGCTTTAGTTCTGAATTTTATTATTCTTATTACTATAGCTCTATTATCAAATAATTATGAGCTATTTGAAAAGCAGCAGGTGTGGTACATTCTAAGCAAATACATATGATTCTAGCGCATTAGCTGTTTGTTCGGCTGAATAATAAAGGGGATTGAGTCATAATTAAAGTCTTCCCCTACTCTTCTAAAAGCGTACAGGTGAAAATTGTGAGGAAGCATACCACTGTACTTCACTGTTTGCGAAAAGTTTTCATTTGTAGTTCTCTTTGTTTTGTTTTGTTTTTGTGGTGCTGGGGATCAACCTCAGGGCTCTGCATGCAAAGTGAGAACTCTACCACTGAGCCAGACCCCAGCCCACATTATTAGTTCTCTTAAATGTGATGAGTTTTAAAAATGATTTTTATCCTAAAAATGAGATGCAATTTGCCATGTGGAAAACGAACTTGAGTATTGTCCAAAAATGATAAGACAGCCGGGCATCTTGGCATATGTGTAATCCCAGCTATTTGGGAGCTTGAAGCAGGAAGATTATAAATTCAAGGTCAGCCTAGGCAACTTAGCAAGACCCTATCTTAAAAATTAAAAATAAAAAGGGCTGAGGGTGTAGCCCAGTCGTAGAGAAGGCTTGGGTTCAACCTGCAAATGGATAAATAGATTTTAAAAATCTGTTTACAAAAATAGGTAAAAAATAATGTTGAGGCCGGGGATATAGCTCAGAGGTATGGTGCCTGCCTGGCAAGCTCGAGGTCCTGAGTTTGATTCCTGGTACCAGAAAAAGAAAATAATATTAACAAAGTTTTCCCTAGACTGTTTTGCACACGTTAAATCCTAGGGGATCAGACACCTAAACAGTGAATCGTTATTAGTATCACAGCTCCTAATTTAGTGTGAGGCAGATAAGTTGCTTGTAAACATTGATTTCTTTGTCTATAAATTATAGACACTAACCTCTACCTCTGAGAAACTATTACAGCAAATACCAAATAACTAATCCACGTGCATGTGGAGGAGGGTTATGGGTAAAGGCAGAAAACAGGAGGAACCAGCTGGTGGCGTCGTGATATAGGAATTAATATTCAACCTTATAGGAGTCTGGACGTCTGATTTGGAGTATATTTCATCATTAGAAGCTGCACATTCCCAAGGTCTCCCATTAGAAAGTGAAAACAAAGTTTTCATCAAATGTGTTAATTTGGGAGCTTTGCATTGACCACTTGCTCTTCATTTTCTATTCATTATAACCTTTGCTGTTCTTTCAGGTCTGGCTGTTGTAAAACTGCAGAAGTTTCTCATTAGAAAAATCCAACCATGACTGTGGCTAAACCTCTGTGTTTTCCCTCTCCACATTTGTCCGTGTGTAATGATTTTATTCTGCATTTTCAGATTTACATATAAAATGCTGGACCTTTGGAACATATGTGATTTATGTGTGTTTGTTTGAAGTGCTTTTCTTTTTTTTTTTTTTTTGGTTTTTCTCTGGTACTGGGAACCGAACTCATGACCTTGCGCTTGCCAGGCAGGCGCTTTGCCGCTGAGCTAAATCCCCAGCCCCTTGAAGTGCTTTTCTTTCTATAACCATAAATATTGGTGCTGGGCATTTCCTGAATTAAAAGAAAGCACCATAAGGTGAAAAGAGATGATAATCTTCCAAATTAGATTTTTTGTTTGCCTTTTAAACTCATTTTTAATATTTATTAATCCATATTTTTATTTGAAAGGGATTTTACTTATTTTTATTGTAGCTCATTATATGTATTAGGTTTTAATTTTTTTGCCCTAAAAATGCATCCCCACTTTCAGTGTACACTACTGAAGGACCTCACAGTCACGCCTAATGAGGGTAAGTGGTAAATATCGACAACAAAGTTGAAGTGGAGAGCAAAGAGACACGAATTCTAGGAGCTGCCCATCTCTGGGAGATGTGCTCACGCTTGCATGTGCGGGGGCAGGCATCACATGACACCAGGCATCCTCATTATACCCGGGCCTCGGCGCCCCCAACAGAGAGTCCTCAAGAAGACAGCGGGGAGACAGGTGGGGTTCCCTTCTTTCCAGCCAACCCTCTGTCCTTACAGGGTCCACCACTCTCATTCCCATATTCTTTGAAACAGCTGCTTTTCCTGGATCATTGTGGATAGCTGCATACTTTTCTGCTTGATTCCTGCAAAAGGAACATTGTACTAGAAGGAAAAGACCAGCATCTATCCCCATAAGGATCATCTGTACATTCCAAAATTGTTTACTGTGAAGTGTTTGTGGGTTATTGATACTGAATATCAAGAATAAAATATCTGTAAGAACAAATCCCATGTCTGGCTGAACATGTTCTACTGTGTTGGTTGTATAAGTGTCTGCTTCCCATGGAGGGTTGTGGGTCCTTGTGATACAGAGGAAAGAGACTCCCAACCTGCTAGATGTCCAAAATGCCAAGGTGAATTGAGCAATGAATTCTAGGAACAGTGGAGGTTAAGAGTAGGAAGATTTTATTAAGAGAAAAAAAGTTTCTGTGTGAGAGAGACAGAAGGGGACCTGGAAAGTTGGTTGCCTGCCAACCACACTTCTCAAGGGTGTTTATTGAGCAAAGCCACGAGGTGAGGCGGGTTCAAGGTGGGACAGAACTATAATCAATCAACAAGATTATAAGTACAGTAGCTTAGGTAATATTGATCCAGTGGGAAATCACAGGATGTAGTTACTTAGGTGACACTGATTAAATGGGGATCAGACGGGGAAGTAAGTCACAGAGCAAGTGCACGTGGACAGGGACTTCCCTGGAAGAGGTGGGTTGAGGATGTTTGGTCCTCTAACCCAAGGTGATTGATGCCCACATAGAATATCAATCCCTGCTGTTCATCCCTAGGGGAAGTGTATGGGTACAGTCAGTCCTCTTTTCTTGAAGTCTGGCCTAAGTGAATGCGCCTCCAGCCACAGCTGTCTTCTGCATTGACCTTCCGAGGTCTCAGCCCTGTCTGACTGCCCACACTATATCTAAATAACTCAGCTGTCTGTAATTCTTGTGGGCAGAGAGCATATCTAGTTCATCTTCATTTCCCCAGCCAATGTATAGCATGCAGCATGTTCAAGAGATACTGGTTAAATTGAGGCAAAAGTGTGTTCTTGTGCCACCCTTCACACACTAAAGGAAACTTTTTAGTTAACAATTGTTGGGGTTTTTTACCATTTAAAATATCAGCGATTATGGACGAGCTCTTCCTCGGAAAGCATAGCTTACTCAGGCGAGCGGCAGCATCGCCGCGCGGGGCTCCACTCAAGTCCGGGGACTGGCGTTCCGCTCTCACGCCACCCTGTGCCTGGGGGCCTGGGCCGCCAAAGAAGGACTGCTCTCCGCTGCAGAGCTCTTGAAAACCAAGTGACCTTGGCTGCACAGACTCTTAGCAAGGCGCACAGAGACCCAGGGCGGGGCACACACCCTTCTCAGCAGGACTCCCCACCCTTGACGCCATCGCCGGCAGGCAGGTACAAGCGGGGGTGTCACTGGCAGCTGGGGCGCCGTCTTCACGGTGTGTGACCATTCGATGCACCTGGCCCTCAGACGCTGCAGTTAGTAATTCACCCACCTCTGCCCTATCACTGTGACAGCCCAGACGAGCTACACTCACTGCTATAGTCCATAGGGAGCCAACTATTGCTAGGAAAATGGCACAGTGTGGTGTTTCCTCAAATAGAAATAAAAGCCCTCAAAGGATTGAAGAAAATAGTTTGTTTAGTTAGTTTATGAGTGGAGGCAGCTAGCTAGGGGAAGAGCTGAGACAGCTGGTGTCAGCTACATTGATGGGAATTAAAGCAAGGACAGACAGTGAGCCAGGGGTGGAGGGCAAACCTGCAATCCCAGCACTCGGGAGGCCAGGCTGGAGGGTTGCTGTGAGTTCGAGACCAGCCTAGGCTACATAGCGAGACTCTGCCTCAAAAAAATAAAAAACAAAAACAAAGCCTGGGTTCCTCTGTCCCACAGAGCCACCTGTGATATGTGGCCACTAAGTATCCGCGCAATTCCTGTCTTCTGCTTACCTGTAAATGGCTCGAAGTTGAGGGGCCATGTGGCCACCCACTCAGGACCCCTCCTGGAAGTCCAGGAACTCTTCTCGTTTGCAGTAGAAACTCTGCTAGCCTCCGCCTTCGGCTTACAATTTCAGCCCTTGACGTTTGTGGAGCAAGCTGTGTACACACGGTAACAGTGACATCCGTGCAGTCTCTCCACGCTGCCCCTGTCCCTCTTCAGTGAGGCCCCTGTCCTCCAGGACATGGCCTGTTGTCCTCAGTCCCACAGTGGAGTGATTTATCCTCCTTGCAAGCTCCTGGCCTCCGTGAGCCAAGGTCTGAGGTAACCGACTTCATGGTTCATGTTGTGGCAGAAGCGGGAGAGTCTCACACACATGGGTTCTCCTCATCCCCCGCTGTGGAAGGAGGCTCGTGAACGTCGCTCCACAGGCACGCTGGGTACAGTGGTCTGTAACCGTGAGGTGGATCCGACAGGTAGAGCTCAACCTCTTGTGTATGGTAAGCAAAGAACGGCAAAGCGGACACTGGTGGGGAAAGAAAAGCGGCTACATTTACTGACATTTGGGAACAGGGAAATGGTGCTGGGATGAGAGAGAAGAGAAAGAGACCAGAAAGGTCCATAAGAAAAGACAGCCATAGCTGCCTTGGTCTGGGCTTGCAGAGGAATGGCCCTAGGGTGCCACCCAGCTCCAGTACACTTACGGCCGTGGTCCCCTCAGCCCTAGCGTTACCTGTGTTGGATCTGCGCCCAAACATGGGAGCCTATACTCAGGAAACCTCCACATTCATAATGCGGAACTGTTAGCAAACATGCCCACCTCTTCCCTAGAGGGGAATGTCTCTTTATGGTTATGGCTAGAAAACAAATCTTCTGTTCAGAAAGAGACAATATCTCCCCTTCCAAGAATGTTTGCTCCATGAAGATCAAGCCCAGGAGAAAGCTAGTGCAAACTTTTGCAGAAAAGCAAGAGGCCCATGGAGAACACGTTCCCCCAGAGTCACTGCTCCCCGTGCCCTCCTGCCGAGGAGAATAAATGGCATCATCTCTTCCCTTGTGCTCTTTTAACTCTATCGTCAGGGCCCAAATCATGAGCTCTGATTCCTTCAGATTTTCCATTTTGATTCTTCAGTATCGATCTGACTGACCAAAATGTTTCTCCTTGCCATTTTCATTACTGGGATATCAACTGTGATTCATCTTGGGGTCATGTGGATGCTTCTGACTCACCGGGGGACAAATCATGACAAGGAAATAGAGAAAGGAAAAACAGAAAGTTTACAATTGCAAGTTAGTCTGCTACCTCTGACATTCACAAGACCGTTGTTCATAGCATCAAAATGCCCCTGAGCAGAGAAACTGTCCTTCCCTCTCACCCACTGCCCTTTCCTATTTAACACGTATGTGCACTTCCAGACTTTTGTTCCTATATTCCAGGCAGCCAGTACCAAAGCGGGCTGGCCTGAGCCACTGGGGTCCCGAAGCACGGTCCCTGTATCAGGCCGGACACTATGCCTCCTCACTGCGATGCCGCCCTTTTCCTCTGGGAGAGCGAGGAGCTCCACCTCCTGGTAGTCCCCGTGGTACAGTTAGGAACAAAGGAGTGGTGTCCCTCCCTTCCCTTCCTTCTCCTCCCTAGCCATTATACAGGCTTGAATTTAGGAGCTCAATGGGAGGCGCCCTGGGGCAGAGGCTATAAATCCTGGAAGCCTGAATTACACTGGAAGGGACAGTAGCCATTTCTAAGGATTTTGCGGGAAGTTGGTCTAGATGGGCAGCAGGGAATGAAATCTCAAGTTTGATGCTTTGCTGACTGTTAGGACAGGAGGAAAACTTGGGTGGTGTCACAGGTAGGGTCTGAGGGTCCCTGAGGCTGAAATAAAGAATTTAACCCACGCTTTTGTAGATAAGTTTGTGGGTTCACTGGCTCTCATCATGGAAAAAGAATGTTCAGGTATAGGATGCAGGAGCTCAGAGAAATGAGAGGCTCTTTAGTTGGGAACTGAGGATCTTCACATGTTCTGGGGTGTGAAAGTCTGTGGAATTTGACAATCTACAGGCATGGTCTGGTCTAGCGGGCGAGAGAGGACGGCCCAGGCCTGGTGAGATAGTGGCCCTTTCATGGGGGTGGAGGGTGTCTCTACTGTATTCTGGGAGAAGAGAAAGAAGAGGAGAAGGAGGAAGAAAGGAGGAAAAAGAAAGGAAGAGAGAAGAAAAAGCTTGGGCTTCTGTCCTGAGGCTGCAGCTTTCGGTAAGAGTACAATTACTAAGATCTCAATTTCTCAGTCTCCTTTCTACCCATGTAGGTTTCATCTCTTCTGTCCTACCTCAGGTGGGAGTTAGGAGTGGAACAGGGGGTCCAGGTGAATTTATTTACAGGCTGAGACAGAGATGGAGGAAAGAGAGTTTGAGAATTCATTATGTAACGCAGTCTGGGCTCCAGCTCCAATTTGCATCTAACCTCCAGCCTCTGGGGTCACCTGTGTGTGCCACCAGGAGAACGGGGACACCTGGGGTTACACAGGTGATGGGCTCAGGGGAAAAGGTGGGAGGACCTCGGCTTTCAGAGCAAAGGAGAACTGGTGAGTGAAACACTTACAGGTGGGCAGAACAGGTAGAAAAAGAGGGGAACAGTCACCACAGCAAAGAACGAATTATGAAGACCACTTGGAAAGGAAGTTGACTAGGACTGAGGATAAGACATTTTGGGAAAGAGTTGAGGGAAATTATTTAAACTGTCTCTTTAAAGCATATTTATATAGCTTCTCGGCCTTTTGGCTAAGATCAGTGGAAAGCACATTTATTCCCACCCACCTAATAATCAGGAACTTCCTTAATGAGGAACTGTAAGGAAGCTGAAAGTGGAAGCACAGGCCTCTAATCCTAGCACTCTGGGAGGCTGAGGCAGGAGGATTGCAAGTTTGACCCAAGCCTGGGCAAATTACTGATACTTTGTCTCACAATAAAAAATAACAAAGAGCTAGGGATGTCACTGAGTTTTGGGGTGCTGGAATCTCCTTCTGGAGGTGGTTTCCTATTTCTACACAAGTAGAAACCGTAGCAAAGTTTTATTAAAGGCAGAAAACAGGCTTTGCAGTGAGTTTGCAACAAGTAAAAGCAGGAGATGCCTGAGGAGGTGAGAGTGGCCACCTTGCAAGAAGTCACAGCGTTAGACTCAGCGTGCGCGTCCTGGCTGTGTCAGCTACTCAGGCTGACATGGTCTGGGCCATCCTATGGAAACCCGGCTCCAGTTCTTGCCAGAAGCAGCGCTTTGGGAACCGTTCTGCCCTAGTGTTTCGGGATTTCGTACTTAACAGGTCATACCTACTTCCCCAGCCAGGGTTGCCACACCCCAGTCTTCTGGGTCTGAAACACAACTCAGTTCAAAGGCCTTGGGGTCAGGTGGTGTTACCATGTACACCAAGTTAGTGGTTCCACAAATATCCAGAAAGGAAGTCATGCAAAAGGAGGAGGTCAGGAGAGTTTTACTGGAAGTAAAAAAATAGCTCCTGGATTTCTTGAGTGGGTCCTGCGCCCTCAGGGGTGGCCACTGGCCGCTCAAACCAGAGCTCGTACAGATATGAAGAGCGCAGGAACTGCCCCACTGTTTAGCGGCCGCGGATCACAGGCGGCTTTGTGGATTTAAAGTGACCAGGTGGAACTCAGGCTTCTAATCCGCTTCTACAACTTCAAAGCTTTAAAGGAAACCTGCATCTTAGAAAAAAAAAAACTGGTTATTTTGAATTTCAATGTCCTCAGACTCAGCCTTAGTAGGGAGGGGGTGGATCCAGGGAGAGGAGGAAGGCCCCTGCGTTTCGGTGCCTCAGCGCTCAGCTCAGTAGCTAGAGGCTGGGCCCGCTTAGGCGGGGGTGTCGGGGGTGGAAGGGTGTCGGGGGGTGGGGCGGTGTGCCCGGGTCCATAGTTATAGGCCCGGAACCTTTGTTCTCAGCCCGGCGGGTTCCGGGGAGGACGCCGCGCGCTCTCCGTGCTGCTCTTCCGGTTTCCCCGTCGGGCTTCCGGGCTCGCGCGAACCTTCTCTGCAGACATGTCGGGCTTCAGCCCCGAGCTCATCGACTACCTGGAAGGGAAGATATCCTTCGAGGAGTTCGAGCGGCGCAGAGAAGAGAGGAAGACGCGGGAGAAGAGGGTGAGGGAACGCCAGGCCGGGCGCACCGACCCCGGGGGGCGGGCGAAGCCTGTGCGCGAGGGTGGAGCGCTCGGCCCGGGGCTCCTTGTTTTGGTCCGGCGCGTTTCGGGGTGCGGCTGAGCGCGGGAAGTGCAGAGAGCTCACGGCTGCCCCGAACTGCACTGAGATCAAGTCTTTAAAACAGGAGTTCCGGAGGCGGACGTAGTGGCGCCCGCCTGAAATCCCAGCCCTCGGGAGGCTGAGGCAGGAGGATTGTCACAAGTTGAGGCTATCCTGGGCTGCATGGTTAGTTCAGGGGCAGCCTGAACTGCACAGCAAGACCCTGTCTCAAAAAAAAAAAAGTTAATGTATTTTTATAAAGTTTGAACCCTACACAAACTGTGGAATCTAAATCAGAATTCTGTCAAGGCATTTCAAACTACTGCACCTCGGTTTTATTCTTCCATCTAAGCCATTTATAAAAATAAACTTAAAATACCCTAATGAAGACATAACCGCACGATTCAAGAAACCGCCAACTTCACAAGACTCAATTGCTTTTACTCCCGAGGTTTGAATAAGTCTCCGCACTCTGGCATGGAGAGGACCCGGGAAGCTCAGCTATTTCTTCCTAAGAATGAGAAATAAGGCGGGCGGGGGCTCGGCTGGGACCGCTCAGCGCTCCAACCCCAAACCCTGCCCATGCCCCCAGACTGGGCCTGAAGGCAAAGATCTTTCTGCCTCAGTCTCCCCAGCGTTGGGATCATAGGTGTGTGCCACCATGCGCTGTGCAAGTGCCTTCTTTTTCCTCTTCAGTCACATTTTATTGGTGCATTTTGGGTACACATAATGACCACACTCATCATGGAGAATTTGTACCTGTACATGATACAACTTGGTTCTCACGTTCCCATTCCCCTGCCCTCCCTTCAACCCCTCTTCCCCTCCCCATTTACAAAAGCTTTGTTTTCATGTTTTCTTTCTTTTCTCACTCTTTTTTTTTTACTTTTCCCTTCTTTCCTTTTCCCCTCCCCCTCCATGTTCCCCTCCTCATTGGTCATTTTCTTCCTATTTCACAACACCTAGTATACATTTTGGTTCTTACACTTTCATTTTCTTACACTAGAGAAGCAGTGCGGTATTTACACGTGTCCGATTTATTTCACTTAATGGTATGGTCTCAAGGTGCATCCGTTTACCTAGGAATGTCTCAAGCTTATCTTTCTTTATGGCAGAATAGTACTCCACTGTATAAAAAACCCGCATCTTCTCTATCCATTCCTCAGCTGATGGGCATTTGGACTATTCCCAGGATTTAGTTATTACAAGCTGTGCCGCTATAAACACGGGAGTGTATGTATTGCTATGGTAGGATGCTTTTGATTCTTTCAGGAAGATAACCAGAGGGGGACTAGCTGGGTCAAATGGGACCTCTAGTCTAGTTTGCCAATGTCCTCTTAACAGGGACACGGGAGGGCTATATCTTCATTTGTTTTAGGAATAAATTAAAACTTTCAATCACAGAGACTTCAGGAAGAAGGAAAATTATCGGCGGAAGAGAACCCAGATGACTCCGACGTGCCATCGTCGTCGGGAATGAGCTCTGCCAGATCCCATGTGAGAGATGTTGGCGAAGGTACAGTGGGACAGTGCGCTCCCTGCGTTAAGTGTTAGGAGTACTAGGGACATCCCCAGCTCTTTTGGCAACTTGGAGACAGGGTCTCAAAGAGTTACCTGGGTTGACCGTGCATTTGTGATCCTCCTGCCTCAGCCTCCTGGGTAGCTGGGATTGCAGGCCTCTGCCACTGTGCCTGGCTCAGGAAGAGCTCCACTGTTGGAAAGTGTTTCACATCGCATCAGTATTTGTTTCGGGACCTTCTTAAATGTATCGTGTGGCCCACCCTGTGGTCTTCAGGATTGAATTTGGGGAGCACCGAGCTGCATCTCTGGTCCTTTTTGTTTGGGGACAGTCTTCCTGCGTTGCTTAGGCAGGCCTGGACATCACTGTCTGCCTGCCGCACCCGGGGCCTTTCTAGGGTCCTTCTGTTCTAAATGGGCCCTCTCAGTTGGTGACTGCTGCCAGCCTGTGCTCCCCCCTTTGTACCGAGTGGCTCCCGAGCTGTGCCAGACAGGAAGGCCTGTTGGCTGCGCAGATGGGACTACACATAGCGTCAAGGAATTGTTCATAGCTGGACGACTACCGCGTTCTTAGCTTTGCAGCATAAATACTGTGTGTGTCGGTGCCTCCCAACTAGTTAAGCTCGTTGGAGCCTGATTGATGACCTGGTGTGGGGATGGTTTCCAGTGATCGGTCCACCTGTCGTGGCCAGAGCGCTGACGACTGCTCGTGGCGTCCGCCTGCCTGAGTGCGGTTAGCTGGGCGCGGGGCGTCAGTGAGGCGGCCTCGTGTGGGTCTGGCTGAGGACTGTGCCGGGCGCTGGCGGGGTGGGAGTGGAGAGTGGCTCGTGTCTCTGCAGACATAAGCCCTGGCACCGACATACACACTGGAGCAAACAGAGGAGCCTCACTCCGCCTCCCTGGACCGTGTGGGGAGAGGGGCAGAGGGGAGGGCACAGTGCCTTCACCCTCCACCCTGCCAGGCAGGTGAGGCGGGAGGGGGCCGGAGCTGTCCTGGCCACCCGGGGGTGGCTGCGGGTGTGCTCGGGGCGGAGCAGCTCTCCACGGTGGGTCTGGAGGTGCACTGACCCCAGAGCTGACCTCGGTCCTCCCTGGAGAGAGGGCTCAGCTGAGGGCGCTGGTGGCCCCGGTGAGTGTGAAGCGTGCAGCCGGCCGCCCTCCTGGGAGACTCCCCTCAGCTGCAGACACAAAGCTCCTCCGTTCTCTAGAAAGGCTTTGCCAGACTCCTGGGGACTGAGAGCACGTTCTCAGCGCGGGAGAAGGGCTTGCGTCAGAGCCAGCTCTTGCCGGGTCTCGTTCGAACGCGTGGTCTCTGGGATCGTCTTTCCTCCTCCTGCACACCGTACAAGTAGGGTCTTTGGATTTCACTTGAAATTTATTTTTGTTGGTACATAAAGTAGTTTTAGTTTTTGATGGTACTAGGGATTGAATGTAGAGCTTTCACACTGAACTGTGTCTGCCCACACCCTCGTTAAGAATTGTCTTGAGACAGTCCTGCTAAGACACTAAAGCTCCCCGGAGCGCTGGGAGTATGTGTCCACCTACAATCAGTGTTTGAACCTCACTCAGTTCACGTGTCCTGAGTTTTTGTGTAGATGCTTTTGGGTCTTCCACATATATAATCATGGCATGTGTGAGGAATGATAATTTTGTTTCTCCCCTGCCATTTTATCTCTTTTTGTTTACAGCATTGGCTAAGACTACCTGTAAAATGTTAAATGTAAGTGGGATAGGAGAAATTTTTGTGTCATTCCTAGTAACTTTCAAAATTCAAAACTATGCTTGTGGGAACTATTTCTTTTTTTTTTTTTTTTTTTTTGAGACAGGGTCTCACATGTGGTCCAGTGTGTCATTGAACTCATGGTAATCCTGCTTCAGCTTCCCTAGTGCTTTTGTGGGAAGTTTTTATCAAAGTAGAGATACTCCATTTCATTTCTGGTTGACCAAGACTTATTAGGAATGTATTTTGAATTTTAAGAGATGCTTCTCTGATGAAGATGATTGTAAGGTTTTTTTTTTTTGTTCCTGTGATAAATTTTACACTTTGTTTTGCATGTTCATAATTCTCAAATATGATTCACATGGTTCCATAGTAACACCTGTGGCTGAGAACGTGAGGCTTTTTAAAAATTGATAAGGTCATTTATCCTTAATCTTTGGGTCTTGAAGTACTTCGCATATGTGAAATAAGCTTAAGGGCTTTTGGAGACAAATGTACACTTACAGTAATTTTTAACTTTTCTTGTACCTTTTCTGAGTGTGGTACATGTTTGTGCTTTCTTTAACAGGAAAGTGGCCTCTGATCTTGAACTCTTTTGCTCACTCAAGGTCGTCCTTAGGACTGTGTGGAGACCCTGTGGGAGGCTCCTAAGTTGCAAATGAAGCATGTGACGGTGGTAGTAGTGGTGGTAGTGTCCTGATCCTGTCTTCACGTTAGGAGCAGTTCGGGGAGCTCGGCCTGTGTGCTGACCATTCTCCTCCTACAGAGAGCTTCCGCACTTTGTCCACGTTGTCCAGCTGCTGCTGGTGGTGACACTGGGAGCCAGTTGCTCGCTGTCCAGCTTCGTGTGTGCACAGTGCTGTCCAGGTGGTTGTGTCCTGTAAGCCTCGGCTGTCTCGGTGTGTCTTACAAGTGACAGTGGGACGTTCTTTCCCTTTGACTAAAGTGGCCTAAAGCTTTTTGCATTTCCCGCCTCGCTGTCTCTTTGCTTAGGAGAAACCTCCGATGGCGTGAGTAAGTCGGTTCAGAAGGTCTTTGACTCCATGCTTGGAGAGACTGAAGATGATGAGGAGGAGGAAGAGGAGGAGGAGGAGGAAGAGGAGACCCCCGAGCAGCCCACGGCCGGCGATGTGTTTGTGTTGGAGATGGTTCTCAATCGTGAAACCAAGAAGATGATGAAAGTAAATTGTTAACTTATTTTGACGTTTGTGTAACCAGTGACACTGTCATTGAGAAGAAAGGTTTAAATTGCACTTCGGAAACATTTAAAGAACAGGAAAAGAGATGCTATGAGACAATAGCTATCATTTATTTCTTACGTTTTCTGTTGGAGAATTTTTATGTTAAACCTTCATTACTGGTATGTGTGAAAATGAAGTAGTTCTACTATTAAAAGGTTTATGGTGTCTCTCAAATATTTTACCAAATTCATTTTAGTGGCTAGGTTTGAAAGGAAGATCTTAGTAGAATATACCATAAGTTTCTTGGCATGTAAATCCATTCTCCAGCGTAATGATTTTGCTCTAGTTAGTAACTTAGCAGTTTCCTGACCACTTCCATGTTTGCTCTCCTTAAATATTGTACTGTGCTTTGAACTTTTTACTCTAGGAAGTTTTGTTTGTGCTTTTATTTCCCTAGGCTTTTATTTCCTTTAGGGAAAATTTCATAGAGTAAGTCTGTTCTTTCTGCAGTTGACTTCTTCCTGCAGTGTAGACTTTAAGGAGTTGGGATTGCAACCAGTTAGTCTCTACTTCAGAGTTAGGAGTTTTTATTGAGATGTCGTTTGTCTCTCACACAGGAGAAGAGGCCTCGGAGCAAACTTCCCAGGGCGCTGAGGGGGCTCATGGGTGAAGCCAACATTCGCTTTGCACGAGGAAAGCGGGAGGAGGCCATCCTGATGTGCATGGAGATCATACGACAAGGTGCTCTCCTGGGACTCTGTCGAAAAAGCACCTTAGGGACCTGACTTTCAAGCAGATGGGGAAGTGCTTCCCTGAACTGTCTGTAAAATACATTCAGAAACTTAGAGGTCATTGGGTTTTTTTGTTTGTTATTTTGAGACAGAAGCTTTATAGTTCAGCCTGGTCCTCAGTTCACTAGGTAGCTGGCCTTGACGTTGCAGCAGTCCTCCTGTCTCAGCCTCCAGAGTGCTGGGATCATAGGCATGCGCCACCACGCCCAACTATAAAGCAGTATTTTAACAACATTGATGACCAGATCATTTTGATGTTCTGGCTTTAGGTGCTGCTTAGGTACTCTGTCCCCTTGCCAGGTCTTCCCTGGTGCGGGAGCTAGATCCTGAAAACTCCTCTGATGTGTGCTGCTCCCTGGGTGAGCTTGCCAGCCATAGTCTTCGTGAAGGGGATATCACAAGGAAGCTATGGCCGAGAGTTGGGTTTCTCGTGAGACTGCATATTTTGTTTTGTTTAAATAATGGTTCATTGAAAACTTGAAAATGTATGAAAATAAAATGAAGCAAATGTGTTGAAATTCCATTAAATACTCTGTGTGACTGTGCTATGTGATTTACGAAGTTTTGTATTTAAAAATGTCCACAATTTGAGCTGTTGGTGGGCATCAGCTCACGCAGCTTCCCTCAGCCAATGAGGTGTGTTTCTCCATTTCCTTTAGCTCCTCTTGCCTATGAGCCGTTCTCTACTCTTGCCATGATATATGAGGACCAGGGCGACATGGAGAAATCCTTGCAGTTTGAATTGATTGCCGCACACTTAAATCCCAGTGACACTGAAGAATGGGTTAGACTGGCAGAAATGTCCCTGGAACAAGACAATATTAAGCAGGCTATTTTTTGCTACACAAAAGGTAACTAAAATATCTTCCTCGCTTTGATAAGATGTTTCATAATAGGTGTTCGGTAATTACTCGCGGCTGTGGTTGTGATGTTGCTGAAGTGGGTTTTACCAGTGACGTTCAGAGTCCCTCTCCTTTCATGGTATCAGCAGCTTCACTTACAGTGTTAGTGTGGTGCCCAAGTTGACAGCGGAGCAGTACTTTCAGTTTCCTGTGGAGGTGGTTCTCAGTTCTGAGCTGTGCCTTGAAAATTCGGGTCAGACTTGAGTGACCAGGAAGATGCGGAGACTCAGGTTTTATCCGGTCTTAACTCAGTCCTTATCATGAGTTCCTGGGAAGCCAGGTTTCTTCCAGATAACTTCTGTTTCCACTGGAGAATGACTTGTGTTTATTACGTTCTCTGGGAAAAGTGTGGGCCTCCGCAGGTACTGTGTACTTCCTTGTGATGCAATTTTTAATCCTCCTAGCTCTGAAATACGAGCCTACGAATATCCGTTTTCTGTGGGAGCGATCAAGTCTGTGTGAACAGATGGGTGATCATAAGATGGCGATGGACGGGTACAGGCGTATTCTCAACCTCCTGCCTGCGTCTGACGGAGAGCGCTTCATGCAGCTGGCGAGAGACATGGCCAAGTAAGTTCGGCGGCGGGTGCGTGCACACGCTGTTATTAATCCTGGTTTTGTAAGTCAAAGCATAAAGTTGAAACCGAATGTGAGTCTCATTGGTATTTGAAGAAGCATTTCATGTTGTAGTTAACCGCAGGTTTTTTGCTGTGCGACTTTTCTGTTTCCAAGTTAGCTGATTGCTTAGAAAATTTTATATATGAGGTTACAACTCCAGTTGTAAAAATGAAGCATGTTCTGAAAGGTGATGCGGTTCCCAGATTTTCACAACTTACGTGACATGAACTTGTGTATATTTGCAATATTTTTAAAATTGTTTTTTGTTGCATATATGCCAGTGAAACGTTTGTAATATGGGATCTTCTAGTCATTTCATCTTAAGGCAATTGAATAAGGTTTTGAGACTAAAAATTTTCTTCTATAGTTGGCGCGTGTTATTGACTGGGGTACTTTCCTCTAAAGTACAGGAAACATTTTGTGTACATTTTGTCTTGTGCACTTCTATGTGGGTTGTTTTTTTGTTTTTTTTTTAATGCTGGGCTATTACATGTGTGCACCACCATTCTAGGGTTCTTTTATGTAGTGCTGTAGCCTCGTATTAGCCATCTTGATCTGGACACGTTAGGTTAGGTCCATTAGTTCTGTGGTGTTTATCCAGATGGTGCTTAGCTGTCAAGTTGCGCTGTATCTGCCCAGGAATAGGTTACATGTGAACACTAGAAGCATTTTAGGAAATTTGGGGAGGTAGAACAAACTTAGGTTGATCCCTGTTGGAATACTAGGAGTACGGAGGGTCTCCCAGGGTGTGTGCTCGTCTAACGGTCACGGTGGTTAGTGTAATAGGCTTCTGTTGAGGAGTCACTGGGTGGCCTATGCGGAATGCTGCTTGTCTGTTTGTATCGGATGTACTTTTGTTGGAGGAGTGGTGACGGCCAGCTCTGACACTGATCTTCCTACATGGAGCTGGGTTAGGTTGAGGAGAGCCTTAGGAGACGAGGTGGGGAGGGTGGTGCTGGAGTGGCCCTTAACAGGGCAGAGGAATGAGCTGTAGGAAGGAGGTTGGGGGAATTGCAGTATGCTCATGCAGTAAGTCCCCGACTTACAAACAGGTTCTGTTCCAAGAGAACGTTCGTTACGTGTGATGTGTTCCGAAGTCCAACAAAGCGAGCCTTACACAATACACCCACCCTGCACCCACAAGTGTGCAGCTCGAGTGTTCACAAGTCAGGGACTGACCGTATTTAGATGGGAATCATCCAGAATTGGAGATATATTGAAGTTGGTGAGATCCAGGACAATTACATTTCCTCAGATTTTAAGAAAAGGAAACTCAGTTGTTAGGTGGCCCGCGGAGGAAGTGAGTTTCATAGTCAGACTTAAGTGAGCGTTCATTTGTCCTGCTAATTTTTAGGAGTTACTATGAAGCCAACGACGGTACTTCGGCTATTAACATAATTGAAGAGGCTTTCTCCAAACACCAGGCGCTGGTCTCGGTGGAGGATGTCAACGTCGCGGCCGAGCTGTATATTTCTAACAAGCAGTACGACAAGGCCTTGGAGGTAGGAGTGCCGCTGCGTTTTCCTGACCTTTGTGCATCTCTGTGTTGTAGCATCGGCCCTTCATTTTGTCACATTTCTGTGTAACGGGTTTCTAGATTCTGTTGTAATTCCCTATGAGATACACAGTGTCGTTCTCCGATGGTGAGTGATGCAGCCGTCAGCGGTGGTGCTGCGTGCTGCACGCCCTGGCAGCGGGCCGCGGGCGCGCTGGGTCCTGAGGGCGGCCCCGGGGCTGCGGGGGTGGCTTCACTAGCGGGTGGGGGTTCCGGCACCTCGGTTTGTGCTGGCTGGTGTGGAGTAAATGTGACGGTACGGCAGGACTCCTCACTGTAAAGAGTTACTGTCCCTTGTCATGTCCCATTTTGATGTTGCAGGGACTGTTTGAATTATTTATGTCCTCACATTATGAGAACGGTTTTTCGTATGAGAATAGTGTTATTTACTTTCTTGTTTCCTGTTCTCTCAGGTCATTACAGATTTTTCTGGAATTGTGCTGGAAAAGAAAACTTTGGAAGAAGGCGGCCCCTCGGAAGAGAATAAAGGTAGTAGTTTGGTCACACAGACGCGTGTCCACAGTGCGCTCTCGTTGGCTGGGTAGTTCACATTCTCACGGCGGTTACACCCACGTGAGAGCGCGAGGCTTGGGGGGACCTCGAGATAGACCCTGAACGGGGATGCTGGGAGTGTGGGGCACAGCCCGGAGCGGGCAGGAGCGCGGGCGTGTGGGCACAGGTGTGGGAGCCTCGCGGGGCCTGCTTGGGCCCTGGCCTGCTCCGAGGGCGGGGCGTGCGAGGACCCGCTGTTCCCGCGCTGGCCCCGCAGGGGTCTCTGTGGTAGGTGAAGTGTTGCGGCGACGGTGCCGGTTTCTTACTTTTAAATATGGAAGTCAGGAGAATAAGCTGCCAGTGGAGAGGTCGGTGTTTAAAAGGTGAGTGTGGCTTAATAACGTGTCTCTCGAGCTGGAGTGGCCATGCAGGCGCCCCGCTTTTAGGGTGCTGTCCCGGCCCTCACTCTCCCTGTCCGACCCGATGGGGCTGGTGGCTGTGAGCGCGCCCGGGCTCCAGGCTGCAGCTCAGCCGTGGGCCCTCGCTCTCTGGAGCCCTTCCTGCCTCCTTACGTGGTTTGACGCGTCCCCCTTACCTCCGCTGAGGCTGTAACCCCTGCTTTCTTCTGTCTCTGCCTGTTCTGCTGGACTTTCGTTTGCAGCCTTGCAGGACGTCTTGATTTTAGACAGCATCTTGTCTGCGGGGTAGTTGGCGTGTACTGTATGATGCGATGTAAAGGCAAGGGTGTTAGTTTTATCGTTTCCCAGACTGTGATCGAGGAGGCGCGTTTCGCTGAACAGCATCTGAGTGCAGTGGGGCGGCACGCTGGTACTTAGGCGTGGGTGCGTCCCAGTCCTGAGGCGGGCTGCCTGAGATCGGGCCCTGTGAGTCTGGTCCTGACTCTTGGAGCCATCTGCTGTCCCACTCGCAGGAGGAGCGAGCAGAGCTTCTCAGGATGGGGATCCCACTGACCCGGACCGGATCGCTCCCCAAGGCCCTAACCCTTCATGCCGTTGGCTGGGGGCTTAGTTTTGGTGCATGAGTTTTAGGGAAACTGATTTCTACCAAGCAAATCCAAATGATAGAGTTTGCAATATGGAACCCACGCATCCTGGAAGTGGGATCCCTAGAGTCAGATAGACCTGGTCTTGTCTTCGGGATGCTGTGTAGGGCTCGGTCTCATTGAGCAGACTAAATGTCAGTTATTGTCTTGGAGTTCAGTGATTAAAAAGTCTCCTAATATTAAAACTTGTCTAGATCTTCTTATGACTTGGTAATTCTACGTTGAACTGTAATTTGTAAGTTCTATAAAAATGGATGAATTTAATTTTTTAATTTAATTTTTAAAGTAATTTTAAATTTATTCTGCCCTTTAAAGTAATTTGCTAATGTTCTATGCTTTAGAATTTTCTTTTTTTTTTTTTTTTTTTGTTTTTGTTTTTGTTTTTCTCTGGTACCGGGAACTGAACTCATGACCTTGCGCTTGCCAGGCGGGCGCTTTGCCGCTGAGCTAAATCCCCAGCCCCTGCTTTAGAATTTTCTGAAGTGGAAACGTGAAATTTACTTGGAATTTATGCAAAATATCAACTGTGTGTCAGAATTTTTTCTTTTTTTTTTTGGTTTTTTCTCTGGTACCAGGAACCGAACTCATGACCTTGTGCTTGCCAGGCAGGCACTTTGCCGCTGAGCTAAATCCCCAGCCCCTGTGTGTCAGAATTTTTAAAAATTTCCCATGGCTTTAAAAATTTGTGCTATAATGAAGTTTTAGGAAACAGCAGTGTCATTCTACTATTTTCTTAGCCTTTTGTAATAGACAGTAAAAAGAAGGTTTTGAATTCAAGAAGAAGTGGATGCATGCATCTCGGTCATGTCATTTCTTCGGAGTTTTGATGGCTAGTGCGGGATTTACGTTTGTTTGGGGAAGGAGACAGTAAGACAAGATGGGGAGGGGAAGCGCAGAGGAAGGACAGACCCGAGGAGGTGCAAGAGCTCGTGAGGGCTGTGGAGTGGCCTGCTGAGCTCAGTGCCTGAGTTCGTGTGCGGAGGGCGAGCGCTTCGCGGCCCACCAGCTAAGCTCCCGCCTGGGAACGGCCTCTTGTCTTGGACCCTGCAGCTGGCGACACTGTCACCTGTGCGATCCCTGAGGGTGTGCCCATTGACATCATGGTGAAGCTGATGGTCTGCCTGGTGCATCTCAACATCCTTGAGCCGCTTAGCGTGAGTAACAGTGAGATGCTAAGATCGCCCCGCGACGAGAAAGTGTAACTTGACCCTCGACTTTCGCGTTTCATCACCGAGGAGGGCACAAGGGTCACATTACCCTCCTGTCAGTGTCTTAGGAGAGCTAAGTGTTTTGGGATTGGGCTTCTAATAGGTTTTTCCTTTGTAAAATAAACCATCCAGAGATCAGAGATTGAGATTGGGGCATCAGACAGTTGCTAATAATCCTGACAGCTATCTGCTCTTGCCAGCCTTGGCCAAGTAGTTCAGGGAACAGAAACGTCGCGGGGCCTGGGGAAGTCGCTCGGTTGCGGAGCACTTGCCAGGCATGCACGGGGAAGGGAGGGAGGGGTGGAGGGGGAATGTATGGCATCTGCTTTGTTGGCCAGAGGATAAAGTACTGAGTAAAATGCAGTGTAAAAATCCCTACTTGATGGGTCTTTGTTCTAATAGAATTGTATAATAAATTCATAAAATATTTATAGGTTACTAGTTGGGATAGGTGTTCTAGAGAAAAACAAGAAAGAAAAATAGGTAATAGTGGGGTGGGAGAAGGTAGGCGGTCAGGAAAGCCCTCCCCAAGGGGACCTTGACTGAGGGCTGCTGGTGGAGGACGCGGGGAGCCTGGCCCCTGCCTGGCCAGCTCAGCCGCGCACACGCTTGGCTGCTGGAGGAGCAGCAGCACCGGGTGTGGTGTCCGCTCCTCAAGCCGCGCGGTGGCGGGGAGGAGCAGTGATGGGAGTGGAGTCCTTCCTAATGGACACCGAACTCTCGGAGGGGGCGTGCGCGCTAAGCGGGGTCGAATGCGCGAGCGCACGGCTAACTCCAGGTCCGTCTGCGCTCCAGCCTCTCCTGACCACGCTGGTGGAGCAGAATCCTGAAGACATGGGCGACCTCTACCTTGACGTCGCGGAGGCGTTTCTGGACGTCGGGGAGTATAACTCTGCGCTTCCGCTCCTCAGCGCGCTGGTTTGTTCCGAGCGGTACAGCCTCGCCGTGGTTTGGCTTCGCCATGCAGGTGATGCATTTCCGCGGGACGGAAACGTTTAAACGCCATCAGCAGCAAGAACTTGCTTTGCCAGGGTGGTGGTAATCGCAGACTCACGGTCTTAGTGCACGTGTTTCTGGTTTCAGGGCAGGTCTGAAGGTCAGTATTTTAAATTGTATCCCTAGACTACTAAGTGATTTCCCACCTCGTGGTTTGGAGGAGCAGCCGACTTCACGGTGACGGTCAGCGCACTAATGTGGCTCTTACCTGCCTGTCTTAACCGTACTCTTTGGGTTCTAGTAATGCATTACCGGGGTAAAATCGAACCTTGGAAGAGTTTTTATAGATTTATATGCAATGCTGTTTTTAGAAATTATTTAGCAGTTTTCATATTCTTTAAGCCACACATGCTCAGGGTTACACTTTATCAGTCATTTTATTTCACTGTGCCTAGGTCCACAGTAATCTGAAATAAATCACTTAAAGTAGAAAAATAACTTCATAGATTTCTTAGTAATCGAACATAAAAAGCTGCGTTAAAAGTAGAATACCTTTGGCTTAAAATACTGCATGATGGGAGAAAGTTCTGGGCTCTCTGTTATCTGGCAGCGGACAGTCAGCTGCGCTGGAGGAAACGGGCTGAGTTTCAGAACAGGAGTGTAGCTCGCCCGTCCAGGAGCCAGGAAAGAGCCCTCGTGATTATGTGGCGGTGCAAGTGCTGCGCCACCATTAAACGTGGCCTCTGGGATTGGCATTTTAAGGATGAGCAGAGAGTTGCCGTCATCTTTGCTTTCCGAAGGCTGCGATACTGAAACTGCTCCTGTGTTAGTTGCAGTGGATACTGTAAAAATCTGGTTTAATTACAATCACGATTCTCCTAAGTGCTGCTTCCATTTTGATCCATGTAGCTTGAGATGCATGGAGGGTAAAAAATTCAGCATATCATAATTAATATGTCCCTAACAGTGACAAATGAAAAAATGCAAGCAGTGCCATTCTGATGGTCCAGTTAAGTAATTTATTTCCAAGATTTGACCGCAGACCGTGGTTCAGAGAGATTAAGGCAGTGGGAGGCAGAGGGGTCGCGTGGGGGTTGGTACGAGGTCACTGCCGGAAGAGTGAGGGGATGAGAGGGCCTGGACCTGTGCTGCGGCTCTGGGGGTGAAGTCTGCGGCATCCGGGGGTGTCACTCTCGAGAGTGGAGCCTGAGCAGGTAGCTGTGTGGGGCGGGGTCACAGCACTCAGGAGCCCGGAAGGTACCCGGGGGGTGGAGTGGGCAAGGCCCGAGACTGAAGAGCCCTGTGCAGGGCTGAGGCCCCAGGTGGGCGTGGGGACCCACGGGGCCAAGAGCCCAGGCCTGGGGCTTGTGTTCAAATCCCCCTTTCTAACTGTGGAGGCGCTAATAGCTTTTACACCACTGTGCCCCAATAAACATGTCTGTGGATTAACTCTGGACTTACACATATTTACCGTGGTATTATTAGAGAGTAAATTTGGAAACAATTTAAATGTCAAATAGTAATAGTTACATGTTCAGTTTGATTATTATACAACTATTGAGAAGGCGAGCACAGACGGGAGAATGTCTAAAGCGCAGTGCTACATGTGTAAAGCCGAGTGCCAGGTTGTGTCTGTCTGCTGATTGCATCTGAGCCTTGTAAATTGAGTCAGATACGGAGAGCAGTGGATTAATTGGCCAAGCAGCAGAGATAGTACAGTGCTGAAGTGCTCTTAGTACTAAAAGGCGCGTGCTCACCTCTCACACTGTGCTGCATTGCTGCCAGCGGGAAGTCATGGTGGCAGTTTGCAGTCTGTCGTCAACCAGGGCTCGCTCTCTGCTCGTCCTAGAGTGCCTGAAAGCCCTGGGCTACATGGAGCGTGCTGCTGAGAGCTACAGCAAGGTGGTCGACCTGGCCCCGCTCCACTTGGACGCCAGGATCTCCCTCTCCACCCTTCAGCAGCAGCTGGGCCGGCCCGAGAAGGCGCTGGAAGCGCTGGAACCCATGTATGACCCGGACACGCTGGCCCAGGATGCAAACGCCGCACAGCAGGTGGGCCGGGGGCCTGGGGTTGCTTGCTGAGCCTCGGTTCAGCACTTTCTGGCACTGGTAAGGGCGTCATGGCTTTATCCAAGGTCTTGCTTCAGTGTACCAGATTCAGTGTGTTTGACGGATCCGATCAGTTGAGATTCCATCTCCGGTTAGAAGGGGCTTTCTTCAAGAACACGAAAAGCAACGAATGCTGTTTAGGTTGAGGGACAGAGGAACCTCCTACAGTGCTGGTGGGCGTGTAAAGTAGCACAGCTGCTATGAAATCAGTGTGGCGCTTTCTGAAAACTTGAAATTCCCCTGGGCCCAGCTGTACCTCTTCTGGGTATGTTCCCTGAAGAGTTACAGATGCGTGTGCAGGGGTGCATGGCGCCAGCCGTGACAGCTTCCCTCCGGAGTGAGCCTCGCTGCCTGTCCACAGACGACTGGAGAAATACATTGCAGTTTAGAGACACAGTGGAATGTGGCTATTCAGCCGTAAAGAAGGGGTTCCTGTCGTCTGCAGAAAAATGGAGTTTGAGACTGTAATGTTAGGCGGAGAGTCAGACACAGAAATGTAAATGTTGCCTTTATTAAATATAAACAAAGCGGAAAGTAAAGGAGATGGAAGGAGGCCGGGAGGCACATGGGGAAGAGGCCAGGGGAATGGAAGGGGGATGGATGGGGACGGGGCATCGAGAAAGACACGGCTCTGTATCTGTACCTAAATCTCTCTGATCGTTTATAATGTCCCAGAGTGAATGTAGCTATTGTGGATTGCAGATATACACTAGTAAAAACGATAAAAAAAAAAAAAAAAATCAATGTCTTTCAGAAACGATTGTTGAGTTCCTGAGTTTGAGCCACTTTTTTTTTTCTTTGTTTTTGAGACAGGTTCTCACTATGCAGTTCAGGCTGGCCTTCAGCTCACTTTGTAGCCCAGACTGGTCTCAAACTCGCAACGATCCTCCTGCCTCAGCCTCCCGAGTGCTGGGATTACAGGCGTGCGCCACCACGCCTGGCCTTCAGCCACTTTTTATTAGATGTTACAAATTGTAGTTTCTAAAATACTGCACCTTAATTACCATGAAAGATCACAAAGCAGATGTTCTTACAGCCTGGTTTCTAAAGCAGAGCTGCCCTGTGCGCGTTAAATCATGTTCCGCAAATCAGTTCCATCACCCCCACCGCCGTGTGCTTGTTCCTCAGGAGCTGAAGCTGCTACTGCACCGGTCCACGCTGCTGTTCTCACAGGGCAAGATGTACGGTTATGTGGACACGCTGCTGACCATGCTGGCCATGCTCCTGAAGGTGGGTGGTCTGCTGTGCATTTCTGTGGAAATAGAAAACAGAACGTAGCTACTTTATCATTGTTCACTCTGTTACACATTTTGAAGTCAGAAAAAAACAAGACTTAGAATCTAGTGGTATGCAATTGAAAGTTCTACACGATAGTATAAATTCTTTGTTTTTTTATTTTTTTCCGGTACCGGGGATCTAACTCACGACCTTGCACTTGCTGGGCAGGCGCTGTGCTGCTGAGCTAAATCCCCAGCCCTAGTAGTATAAATTTAACTGGAGAGGAAGTGCAGTGAAATCTTTCCTAGTACTTCCTGAGAAAAGTGAGAACCATATTGGTGCTACTGCATGCCAGAAGTGTGTGTTCCACAAAAACGCCTTCCAGGATGATAGCCTTTGAGAGCGGCTTCTTGGCAGAAAGTGGGCCTCTGAGTGCGTGCTGGCGTGCTCTCTCTCTTTCTTGGTCTCTCTTCCCTCTTCCTCTGTTTCCCCGGCCTGGCCCCTTCCATCCCTGCCCGCCACAACCTCTTGTCTTCCCTACACGTTATTTTTTTTTGTTTTGGTCTTTTGAGATGGGTTTTGCTATGTGGTTCAGGGTGAGCTTGAGCTTACTATGTAGCCCAGGTAGGTCTCCAACTCATGGCCGTCCTCCTGCCTCAGCCTCCCAAGTGCTGGGATTATAGGCGTGAGCCACCACACTCCCAGCTCACATTTCATAAAGTGTGAATTGCTTTCTTTTCCCTTCTAAGGTGAATAATGTGACCTCCCAGGTTCCTTTGGTAAGAAAAGAACAATTCAGTGTACTTCTAAATGTGTGTGTATAATTTGTAATACAGAAGTAATGTTTTATAATATAGTAACATGTTTTATAATACAGAAATTTGACTACTCTTTCCACTCTTCAGAGTTTTCATTGACATTCATAGTGCTTGTGGCTTCTTGGTCTTTGATAAACGGTTAAGTCACACCTAGCTGTCACCTTTAATTCAGGTAGCTATGAATAGAGCCCAGGTCTGCCTGATATCCAGCTCCAAGTCTGGAGAGAGACATCTCTACCTGATGAAAGTGTCAAGAGACAAAATATCAGACAGCAATGACCAAGAGACGGCAAATTGTGATGCAAAAGGTAATTCACTTGCTTTACTATATAGAATTCAGCTGAACTGAAAGACTCAAGAAGTAACTCCTAGTAACCTCATTGAAAATAGACCCTTTTCAGATAGAGTGAAACTGTCAACTCTTAATACCTCACATAGGGCTGGGCATGTAGCTCAGCAGCACAGCGCCGGCCTGGCAAGCACAGGGTCCTGAGCTCAACTCCTGGTACCAACGCCCCCCCCCCCAAACCTCACATACAGTAAGCTTGTTTGATGTTAAAAGCAAAGCCCAAATATACATACACTGAGTCCCTTACCTGTGAGTGAGTCAGGTTCGTTCCTAAATCCAAGTCTGACAAAGGGAGTCTTACACTGTACACCTCAGGTGTTCGTAAGTCCGGGACTTACTGGGCTTCAGTTTTAAACGTGTGAAGGAAGCTGCCACACACCTTTAATCCCAGCACTCTGGCAGGCTGAGGCAGGGGGATCACAAGTTTGAGCCCTGCCTAGGCAACGTAGCAGTTTAGCGAGATCCCTTCTCAGAATAAAAAAGGAGAAGGGGCGGAGATACAGCTCAGTGCAGAGGCCCTGGTTCGATCCCCAATAATGCAAAATTAAAAGGAAAACATTCTTTCTTTGACAAAAGTAAAATAACACTTTTAATTTTTATTTTTTAAGAAAAAAAATACCTGTAAGGAATTTGTGAAGAGATAGCAGGGCTGTTTGTCCAGTTCTCAGGTATATCCACTCGAATGTTACGCACTTCTGACAGGTGATGACAGTCATAAAGCTCTTTGCAGTAGGTTGTGCCTGCCCTCAGGCTAGGGCTGAGAGGCATGTGTTTTTAATTGGAAAAGCAGCAGGTGTGCTTGGGTAAGGTTGTTACTCGGGGAATTCTAAAAATGACTAGGCTGCAGTATAGAGCCCCTGGGGAGAAGATGGGTTTGTAGCAGACACCAGTTGGAGGCTGCGAGAGCCGGAGGACCCGCAGGAGGGTGCAGCTGATCTGGCTGTGGGGCCCAGCTCGCTGATTCCGGGTTTACCCCACCAGCCCTCCTCTGTCGCTTATATTCTGGGCCGTCTCCCATAAAGTTAGAGTTTCCTCCATATCTGACCTGCCCATGTTTTTCACTGATCTCCTGTTTCAGGCCTGTGGCCTTTCATAGTCTCATAAGGTTTTGTTAATTGTGTCAGAGTGGGTGGGAATCACCTTGCACTGGCAGGTAGGGATGGGATGGGTGAGCTCTGTAGGTTACATGCCAGTTCCTACTCTGGTATTTCTCCCTGAGAAATGTTCTCATGTTGATTGCTCTGTGCGTACAGCTGTTCTGTTTTAGGAATGTGGAAAGTCCCACTGGGCAGCAGTTCCATAATTTAATCATTTCCTTATTTTTTAGTGTGATTGCTTCTGATAATTAAAAATGATTAGTAAGGATCTTCAGATATATTCATTCATATTTTGATTGTCTGGATAGGTTCCCAAGAGAATTACTGGGGCAAAGAGAGTAAAAAAATTTTTTCCTGTTAAGGTTAAAGGTTTCTTACAGAGAAGTAAGGGAAAGAAAATTTTTAAAGGAAAAGAAAAATTTAAAGGCAGAGGAAGGACAGGGCAGATTAGGTCAGGGCCTGCCCGAGTCTCAGCATGAGCTTGACCTCATTGCTGGGCACTTTTGGGCGCCTCGCCTGTGCAGATTCCAGTCTCTGAGCACCGTGCCACCAGGGACGCCTGCTGTCCCGGAGGGGCGCGGGGCCAGCCGGGCGCGGGGAGCAGGGGGCCCGGCTGGTGCTGAGGGGAGGTCGGGGTTGCAGATCATCGTACACATGGCGGGGACAGTGCTGGGGAGACTTCCTTTTTACGGTCAGACTTGGGAGCAAGCATTCAGGCCCCTACGACCGGGGCTGTGAAGTTTAACTTAACGTGGTGATGTGACTTTTCCTTGCTAACCCTCTGCTCCCTGGCTTCATGTGTCTCGTAGCAATATTCGCTGTGCTGACGAGCGTCCTGCCGAAGGACGACTGGTGGAGCCTTCTGCTGAAGGCCATTTACTCCTTATGCGAACTGTCCCGGTTTGAAGAGGCCGAGCTGCTGGTGGACTCTTCATTGGAATATTACTCATTCTATGATGACAGGCAGAAGCGCAAAGAACTAGAATACTTTGGTCTGTCGGCTGCAATTCTGGACAAAAACTTCAGAAAGGCATACAACTATATCAGGTGACTAACTTATTTTTATTAGATTTCTTGATGGCATGTGTACTTTTTTTGACATGGTTTCATACTGAAGAATTAATATATGCGTGGTGCTTACTGGTTCAGTTCATTGGTGATTGTCAGAGGCAGTATTTGAGACCATGGGCTCTGGAGCTAGGCTTCCTGGGTTCGGATCCCAGCCCTGACCCTTTGTGGCTGTGTGATCTAGGCTAGGTACTTAACTTCTCAGGCCTGTCTCCCGTTTATAAAAGGACGTTATAGTTCTCCCACCTTGTAGTACATACTCTTATGAGGGTTCATTGAGTTATAGCATATAAAATGTTTTTTTTTAGCCGGGCATGGTGCCACATGCCTGTAATCCCAACACTCCATAGGCTGAGGCAGGGGGATTACTGTGAGTTTAAGGGCAGTCTGGACTACATACCGAGACCCTGTCTCAAAAAGAAAAAGGAAAAAACTTTGTTTTTGTGGGAGTACTGGGGATTAAACCTAGGGCTTTTGCACTGAGTTACCTTACCAGCCATTTTTAACCTATTTTTTTAGATAGGGTTTTAACTAGCTGTGTCACCCAAGCAGGGCCTGAATTTAATGATACTCCTGCTATAGCGTCCTAGCATGCTGGGATTACAGGTGTGCAGCACCACCCCTGGCCTTACAGAAAGCCTTTGAGTACTGCTTGGAACACATTATTAATTATTCATCTCCATTGTTCTGTAGTTGTTGTGGGCAAGGAGAGAGAGAAATCAAACTTAAACCGAGAGCTTTTTTTGTTTTGTATAAAGAAAGGTTTTGTGGCAAGGCAGAAACAAGAGGTAGACTCCTGACTTCAGTGTTTTCTGGGATCAGTCTTCTATTGTATAAGAGGTTTCCCTTAAATAGATTGAAGCAGTCTGCGCTCCTTGTTGAAGGTGGTGCATCTCTGTAGGAAGGACAGCACTAAAGGTTTCATTCTAAGAAACCAGAGTTTCTTTACGCACGACTTCGCGCTTACTGCCTTCCTGCAATTTTAGGATAATGGTAATGGAAAATGTCAACAAACCCCAGCTCTGGAATATTTTCAACCAAGTTACCATGCACTCCCAGGATGTGCGACATCATCGCTTCTGTCTCCGTCTGATGCTGAAAAACCCGGATAACCATGCCCTGTGCGTTTTGAATGGACACAACGCATTTGTGTCCGGCAGCTTTAAGCACGCGCTCGGTGAGTGTCCGGTGTGCGGCTGTGAAGTGTAGAGTGTGGGGCCAGGGGCCTGGCCTGGGAGCAGAACTGCCTGACCTTCTCCGGGGCACGTTACTCTGTCTCCCTCTGCTCAGTTCCTTTGTCTGTGCAGTGAAGATAGTCATTGGTATCCTGTATAGTTGTGAAAATTAAATGAGTTAATATAAACCACTTAAAACAATGCCTGGGGCCAGGGATATAGCTCAGCAGTGCAGTGCCTGCCTGGCAAGTACAAGGTCCTGAGTTTGATTCCTGGTACCAAAACAACAACAAAAAAACAATGCCTTAACCTGGTGTGGTGGCACACACCTGTAATCCCAGCAATAGGCTGAGGCAGGAGGATTGCTGTGAGTTTAAGGCCAGCCTGAACTGCATAGCAAGACTCTGTCTCAAAAAACCAAAAATCAAGCAAAAAAAATCCTGGTACAGAGAGTAAATGCCCTAAGTACTACAGTGGTACCTCAGGTTCACAAATGCTTTTGCTTGCAAATAATTTTGTTTGCAAACAGAAGTGTTCGGCAAAATCTTGTTTTTGTTTGCAAACTCTGCATTGGGTGGGAGACATGACTGCGGCCATCTTTCCCACACAAGTGTGGCCGTATTTTCCAAGATCGTAGAGCGAAGTGCGTGACCGCGGTGCCAGTGCATTAGCGGTGATGGCAGTTGTGTTGGCTTGTTACTATTGCTCCTTTAGTTTGAAAGGTTAAAGTAGATCTTAGAGCCCATCTTGAAGGTCAGTGATCTTCCCTGCTTAGGTTGTTTTAAAAACAATTTTTATTAATTATAGATGTTTTGTCATCTGCTTTTAGTTTGACATAATGCAGAAAAGGATTTAAGATTTGCTCATAGTCATTTCTTTAGGATCAAGATTTTTATATGGTGCTTAGACATTCTCATTGAATTTTTTTTTTTCCCCCGTTACTGGGAATCGAACTCACGACCTTGCGCTTGCCAGGCAGGCGCTGTGCTGCTGAGCTAAATCCCCAGCCCCATTGTAGTTGAATTAAGGAAAATTCATTAGTCATTTATAATAAGTTTCTGTAGTAAAGGGATCGAAAGCGAACAAGGAGAAAAATACCTCATCAGGTGTTTAACATTAGGCACAGAGCTCCTACTGCCTGACAGCTAGTGTTGCCGTTTGCTTCTGCATAAATTGGCTTTTGGGCTATTTACTAATTTCAGGTTTGTGTATGGCAGATGTTTTTATAATTTATCACCATAACTTCATCCCTCAAATGTTGAAACTTGCCTCTGCTACCGTATGTAATTTAAATCGAGATTGTTTTGTTTTCCCATGTTACCAGCTTTTACTTGTAGTTAAATTTGAGAAGTCCCCGTGACAGTCTACCATCTTTGCCGCCGGAGGAGCTCTGCGGCCTCAGCCCTTCTGGAGAAGACGTTCTCGCCATGTAGCACGAGGCATAGGCTCTTCCTTTGCAGGGGTGCAGAGAAAAGTTTGCCTAAACTCTCCTACCGTATTTGATTTTTTTTTGACATAAATATATACATGTAATATATAGAGTCCCTAAAACTCCATATTATTAGATAGATTTAGCTTTTCTTAGGAAAAATAGTTGCTAAGTTGAGAAAAAAAACTAAAAGAACCAACGCTGTTTTTCCTTCTGTCGTTTCCATGATCACATCGAATGTGTAAAACAAATCAGTTAACTTTACAAATGAATTCATGTGTCTGTGTTCCAGCACAGTACACGCAAGCCTTCCGTGCCCGTCGCCACGAGCCTCTCTACAACTTGTGCATCGGCCTAACCTTTATCCACATGGCGTCCCAGAAGTACGTGTTGAAGAGACATGCTCTCGTCGTGCAGGTAATTACTGGGATTTCTCGTTATTTCTGAGTTCCTTGAAAACGTACATATTTAATGTTTTAAAACCTCCTTCAAACATCATACTTCTTGATGTACATACTGAGAGTACCCCGCACCAGTACCCATGGGCAGTGCTCAGGGAACTCTGCACAGAGTATACTTGTGGCCCAGGTGTATCGTAGCCATGTGGTAAACGTAACACAGCCAGAATCTGCGTGAGGTGTCGGTCATCTTTCTCTGTGCTGAGACACAGTACCCAATGCCCATGACTTAAAGGAGAAGTTTAATTTGCTCCTGCTTTTAGTTTATGACCTGCTGGCTCTGAAGCAGAGACGTCATGGCAGAAGGCTGTAGTGGAGCAAAGCTGTTTAGTTCACTTACAGCAGCCCAGCACCTCTAATTCAGGCTGGTCTTGAGCTCACGATGTAGACCAAGCTGGCCTCAAACCAGCAGCAGTCCTCCTGCCTCAGCCTCCCAAGGGCTGGGTTTACAGGTGTGTGCCACCGTGGCAGGCTCCAGCCTCTGTAGCACGTTCGTGATGGGGCCATAATTTGTCTCTCTCACTGCTGGACACCTCTGGTTCAAATGTGTTATGTTCCTGCCAGGTGGGGTCATTGGTGGAATGTATGCAGTTGTCCCATCACGTGGCATTTATGTACCACTGATGGTTCAGGACAGAGGAACGTGTTGAACTGTGCTTAATCTCCAAAGGCAGTAATGGCAAGTTCATACTTCCACTGACCGTCACACAGCTGTCCCTCACACAACTGGAAACGCAGCAGCCTCCCTTGCAGCGTTTTCCAAAAGTCTTAGTCTCTTCTGAGACTTGAGGCAAACTCTTAGTGTTTTTTTTTTTTGGAACTGTGAACTGAACTCAGACCTCACGCTTGCCAGGCAGGTAGGTGCTGTGCCGCTGAGCTAAATCCCTGGCATGAGACTCTTAGTTATAAAGCTCTGTAATAATCAAAACGTAGTTATGTGATCTCAAGGTAGAATGGCACAGGCAAGACACTGCACTCCGAGAGGGAGCCCTGGACAGGGATTGGACTGAAGCAAGACCGAAGCCCTGGGTGGCGAACAGCACTGTTACGGGGTAACAGGTGCGTTGCAGGGGCGCGGGCAGCCCTGGCCTTGCCGCCTTACTGGTCCCACTTGATGTGGCCTCTCTCTGCGGGCTTCGCTTCGACCCTGCAGCCTTCCCGGGCAGACACTGCAGGCCCCGGCCGCTGGCTTCCCGGGCCCCTGACTGCACATTTGCCATCACTCACCGCCGTCAGCACCACGCCGGCGCCCTCCCATCGGAGTGCTGAGGTGCTCGGTGATGCTCAGTGCTTTTCACAGTTCTCACGTCTGCCGGTGCCTGAGCAGTGACTTCCGTGCGCGCTCTCGCCAGCCGATCGGTGCTTACAGTTCTGCTGGGCCGCCGGGTGCACTCGCCTCACTTGGGCAAGGCCCCGTGTTGTCCCCCGCGCCATAACAGCAAGATTCCCCTTGGTTCTCTAAGAGTCCAGACTTAGGTTCTTTTGAACATAACTTGCACTGGCTAGTGAGATTATAAACTCTTCACAGATCTTCTTATATTGTCTTGAGACCAGGCTTGCTAAGTTGTCTGAGTAGGTTCAAACTGTTGATCCTCCTGCCTCAGCCTCCACAGTGCTGGGCCTTTCGGTGTGCATCATCTTGCCCAGCTGAGAGCAGTCTTTGTTCACTACTATGTCTTCAGCACTTTATGTTTTCATATTTTATATGTTAGGTGCACCCGAGTTACGCAGTGGTATAAATAGCATATGTTCTGTAGGGCAGGACTTCATCCTTTTTTAAAAATTTACTTTGTGTTCCCAGCGCCTGGCACAGGTAGTGGTTCAGTGCATCCTTGCCAGATGAACGAGCTGTTGATTTCTCTTCCTGGCAGGGCTTTGCCTTCCTGAACCGGTACCTCAGCCTGCGTGGACGGTGCCAGGAGTCACTCTACAACCTGGGCCGAGCCCTTCACCAGCTGGGGCTGACGCATCTCGCCATCCACTACTACCAGGAGGCGCTGGCGCTGCCCCCACTCGCGGCAGAGGTACTGTCTGGCTGGGCACCGGCTGGGCCTCCCTTCGCTGCACTTGCTCTGCCCCCATCCCCCATCTGCTCACGGAACACAGCTTGCAGCCCATGTGTGCTTTCCCTGACTCCTGCGTGACTGGGTTTGCTGCTGCCTGAGCCAGGGTCTCGCTTTGCAGTTCAGGCTGGCCTTGAACTCACTGTGTAGCCCAGATTGGCCTCAAACTCTTGGCTATCCTCCTGCCTCAGCCTCCTAAGTGCTGGGATTACAGGTGTGCACCACCACAGTGAGTTTACTATTTGATACAAAGATTGTACATACTATGGGGTGCCACGTGATATACAGAAGTATGAATGTTCTGAGTAATGTTCTAAGCAGGGTCAGAGCATCTCAGTGTTTCTTTGGGAAGTCCTTGCTCTAGCCTTTTGAATTGCTCAGTACATTATCCATAGGCGTCCTGCAAACAGACCTTTCCCCATCCTCCGGGCTCTCCCAGACCTTTGGTGACCCTGTTCCGCTGCTGCCCTTTTTCTGTGCCTGGCTTATTTCCCGTAGCATGGCGCCCCCCAGTGGTGACCGCGTGGGAACGGCCGCCGTGCCCCTCTAGGTCTTGGTGTGCTGGAGGCTGCTGAGCGCCGCTTTCCCTGTTTAGCTGTGAAGGGTGCCACAGTGCACGGGGGTGCGGCTATGGCGCCAGCGTGCTCTGCCCTTCCCTTGGACCCGCTGTAGAACGGGTTTGTAGCTGTGGAACCTGCGTGAGTCAGGCCAGCGAGTGGGCGCTCAGGACTGTGAATCACAGAGCCCGCTGTGCTGGTTCTCGGGGTCCCAGAGGTGGGGGGCTGCTGGGAGGCCAAGTGTCCGTGGTGGGTGGCACGAGCCTCGTGTGCTGCGCCCCAGAGCTGTGGCCCAGCCCGCCCGGCCGCCGCGCACTTTGTGCCTGGGCCCTTGCTGAGACGGCGGCGGGGGGCGGCCGCGCTTGGCTGCAGGAGGGAGAGCCCAGAGCGAGCGGCGTGCTGTGCCCGCAGAGCCATGCAGCCTGCTGGCGGCCACGGCAGGTCGTGGGCTCAGCCACACGCCGCCACCCTCCAGGCCACCAGGACCGGGGCTGAGGCTTAGTGCAGAGGACAGCCTGGCCAGTGGGACTGAGCGTAGGACTCGCTGGGCCCCTGGGAAAGGCTGGGACACCAGAGGGCTTGCCCTGCGTCCCTCGGGTCCCGCAGCAGCTTCTCTGGGTCCGAGGACAGAGAGCAGTGTAGCGCTTGGGGCTCCCTGCAGCCCCGCCCTGCAGCAGCCCCGCCCTGCAGCAGCCCCGCCCTGCAGCAGCCCCGCCCTGCAGCAGCCCCGCCCTGCAGCAGCCCCGCCCTGCAGCAGCCCCTTGAGGTGGTGAGCTCCCTGCAGTTCCGGCGTGCTGCGCCGTGAGGACGGCTGCCCAGCACTCGCCTCGCTGAGCTGCTTTCTTGGGGTGTGTCCCTCAGTGAGCGTGCCTGCTCCGTGGTGTAATTTCTTGTTAGTGTTTGAACTTCAGTCGCTTGTGAAGCTTACACTTACTGTTTGGCTGTGCACTGGTCCTGTGGGCAGTCTGCGATGTGCGCTCTCCTCCTAGGGCATAGAGGTTGACCAGGTGGACCTGCGGAGAGAGATTGCCTACAACCTGGCCCTCATTTACCAGAGCAGCGGGAACACGCTCATGGCGCAGCACCTCCTGCTCACCTACTGCACCGTGTGAAGCCCTCGGCCGGGAGCAGCGCCCTCCGCCTCGGTCTCCGGCTGCAGCGGGGCAGTCCTGGTGCTTAGCCGTCCCTCACCTTTAGGGTGCGCCCCGCAGCGCTGCCGCCCAGGGTGGGTGCGGCTCAGTGCGGGGCGCCGCCTGGCGGGTGGGGCTTGGCTTCCGTCCCCAGCACCGCTACCAGCAGGACAGCTCTCTTCTCTTTCGGTTTGTATGGAACATTAATTTCGCATATAGGTCTGTGTATTTTCTGTCATTTTCCTTTAGCATTCTGTAGGAAAATCATCTCCAGTGCTGAGATGGACGGGGTTGCCCCTGGGTCGGGTCGAGTTGTTTTTCAGTGTGCTCTCGTCTGCACTGAGCGACTTACGAGCGGTTCTTTGGGGACGGAACTCACTGGACTGGTCACCCTGAACAGGTGGGCACCGGATGGGTGCTGGGGACGCAGTCAGAAGACAGACCGCCTGTCCCGTGGCTTTTCAGCTGCACTCCTGACAAACGAGGCAGCTGTCACTCAGCAGGTCTTGAAGTCCTGAACCTGAGTGGGTGTTTATGTGAAAGAACGCCTTGCCCGTTCACCTTCGGTCTGCTGCTGCCCGCTGAGGCCGTCTTCCCAGTACAGGGAAGGGGAGGAGCTCATCAGAGAACTCGAGACCTTCATGACGTTGACAGCTGTTCAGATCAGTGCCCGACAAAATTACTTGAAGTGGTGTATGGTCGGGAGACAAAGAATTGATTTAGTCTTTCTTTTTTAACCTGAATGCAGCTTAGCTGCATTGATGGAGGCTTAATTCAAAGCATACTCCTCTGAGGCCGGTAAAAAAGGGCATTGTCTGCATGTGCGGCTTCCTGAGAAGCAGCAGGGGGTCCTGCGCGGTGACGGCGCAGTTCCCATCCTGAGGTCCCGGGAACGGAGATAGATGGCGTCGTTGTGGGATACAGCATTGCTGAGGACGTGTGAAAGATTAGGGTAAAAACTCTGACTTGCCTCAAGCATTGTATGTCCTTAAATTGCAGGCAGAGGTATTTGCTAGATGTCCTATTGGCTTTATACCGGTTCTTCAGGGGGAAGATAATGGCATAGTAAGTGACACCATGCCCACCTGTGGGATGGACACAGATGAGGGACGTAGGGTGGGAGACAGACAACGGAAGGCCTTTTGGAAATTCTTACTGCTGTTCACAATGTGCATATGAAATGGGATGTATATAACAGGGGAACGTCTACTCTGTGTGTATATATGTAATTTAAATAAACACTTTGTAATTCATTCTTTTTTTGGAGACAGGTTGTCCTCAAACTCTTGGCAATCCTTCCTGCTTCAGCCTCCTGGGTGCTGCAGTTATGGATGCGCACCACTACCCCTGGCTAAATCCTATTTTTATAAGGGAGGTTATTCTACAAAATGCTGATATTTCCTCCTTTCAGGCCGCCAGCTGCTAATGGCAAGGCTGCCTGTGCTAGAGGGGCTTGGGTTAGGGTTAGGTCTCGAGTCCGCTCTGGGTGTGATTCTGCACTCAGCCCCCGGGAGGTGAGCCCGCAGTGCCGAGGGCTGTAGTGTGGGCAGAGTAACACAGTTCCGTAGAAGGGTTACGCGACCACAGGAAGTCACTGGTGTCGTCTTGGTCACCTTCCTGCGTCCGCCACAGGGCCATGAGCAGCCGAGCTTGTCTCAGGCGCACAGCTCTGGAGGAGGCGAAGTGACCCGTTTCTGGAGGGGCAGAAGCTGGCGCTGTGTGTTTGGCTGTGCCCCGTGCAGGGGTGCAGTGTGCCCGCTGTCCGCCTGGTCACCACGGGCCGCAGCCGGCAGCCGCCTCAGCAGCGCCCGCGGAAGGCTGGCTCTGTTCTGCACGAGAGGTGCAACGGGAGTTTCAGACACAGAAGGAAGCGGGCTTTTTCCTGAAAGTCGCTGAAGCCCAGTGGAGCACGTCTCCTGGGGTGGCTTCCAGAAGCTTCGCGGCCAGCCCCTCCCGTCTGGGCCCACCCACTGCTGGCTCAGAGAGCCTTGGTTAGCGCGGTGAGGTGGGTGCCGCCCTGCGCCTGCCGCCGTGGGGTCAGCCCCGCAGAGAGGCTGCTCCGAGCTGGCCGGTCCGGTTCTCCTCCTCCGGGGTCTTGGGGATTGAGGCAGGGCTTTTCCAGGGAGCTCGCAGTTGGGGGAGAGCGCTGTAGCCAGCAGCAGTTCACCCAGTCTGTCGGAAGGAGTGAAGCTTCGGCCCTGAGAGGACAGACGCAACGTGGAAACACGGCGCCCTGATTCCTGCAGATGGGTTTCCAGTTCTTCCCAGGCCGCTGCATTCTTACCCTTGGGTTCGTCCTGAAGGTACCCTGGATTCTTCAAGGACTTCTCGTCAGTGTGTACAGCAGCACTAAGAAGAAAACTAGTTCATCCGTTACCTTTTCATGCAACTGCCTGCTTTCCGTTTTTACAAAAAGCACAGAGCAAGTGTGGACACTTACACGAGTTTGTTGCTGAACGATAGGCAGCATCACAGGATCTAATTAAAAACCGCTCAGCGCACGACCGGCGCCAGCCATCTGTTGCTTCTTGGGCAGCGTGAGCAGGAAGGCTGCTCGGCGTGTGCATCTGGGTGTTGGCTCGGGTCCGCACTGGCTTACTTTGGCTCACGGCTCTGGAGGCTTCAGTCCCTGGCAGGTGGCCTGCTGCTCTGGGGCTGTGGGAGCATCGCAGCACCGCAGGCTTGAGTGGCACAGGAAGCCGCTCTGCGCAGTAGCTGGGAAGCAGAGAGGATGAAGGCCCAGGGTCCCAGCATCCCCTTCCAGGGGACGCCCCTCCCACTGACAGCCCCCACCAGGTCCCATGGCTCTAAGGCTCCACCACCTCGTAACAGCACTGCTGGTGAGGACAAGACCACAGCGTGGGCATTTGGGGAACACCCGGGACCCTGGCTCAGGGAGGGTACCCTCTTTCTTTCTCCGGTGAGGCAGGAGGTCTGCAGAGGGTACCTCAAGTCATCCTTCTTGCTGTCCCAGGACAAAAGACCATATTGCGAAGATCAGGGAGAACAGCCTCCGGCCTCCGGTGCGGAGGAAGCGCCCAGGTCTTGGTCCCAGCCCCCAAGGCTCCTATCCATGTCTGAGAGTCTCCAAAGTCTTCAGGGTTCCTGCTCTGCACAAGCCCAAGTCCAGCGTCTCCTGAAAGGAAAATGTAGCTGTGAGTCCCTGTAAGAAGAGGAAAGTCCAAGATGGCCCTGTACAGCATAAACATTCCCACCCCAAAAGAGGAACAGGAGGATCGGACCGCGGCAGGGTCGGACCCAGCAAGGCAGTGTGAGTCAGTGCGCAGCAGCAGGACGGGCTCCCAGCCCTGTGCTCTGCTCACTCCCCGGCCTCCCTCGGCACAGTCCCATGGGCTGGCTCCCCAGCTTCCCGGGCCTCTGCCGCGGCTTCGGCTCCCTTGAAGCTTCTTGCGCCATCCCGTCAGGGCTCCTTGCGGGGATGGCCCCTTGCCTGGCTGGCCAGGCCTCCCCGCACGTCTCAGAGGAAGCCTCGCGATCCTGTGCCTCTCACTGTGCGTGCTTGAGAAGCCAGCACACCAGGCGGGGCCGGGCCCGCTGCCAGCAGGAGCTCCACCCGAGCCAGTTGGAAAGGCCCGGGCGCTCTTCAGTGGGCTTACGGCCTGACACCTTGGGGTCTGTCACCTTCAGCTGAGTCTCCCGCTGTGGGTATGGACCTAAAGTACTCAAATTCTTTGCCAAGGTATCAAAAACAAGACCTGATTTCCACTGGAAATCTCATGGACAGAACCTGTACCGCCCACACCTCCAGTCCTCTGCGACCTTGCCAGAATACTGCAGCGTTCCAGGCGTTCTGTAACCTGCAGCTCACACTTCCCGGATTGTTCAGGTTCCTCCACGCTGTCTCTAATAGTCACAGCAATGACTGCGCTTCCGTGTTCCAGTTTTCTACAAGTTTTCTGTTACTGTGACAAAATACCTAAAATAAGAGCTTGAAAAGAGAAATGGTTTGATTTCACTCACGTTTCTGGAGGTTTCAGTCCATGGTCAGCTGCCTCCGCACCTGTGCTGAAGCTCTCAACATGGTAGGGGCCTATGGTAAAGAGGCTGCTCCTGTGAAAATCTGGAGATTCCGTAAAAAGCTAGGGTTGGAGGTCCCATTTGACCCAGCTATTCCTCTTCTGGGTATCTTCCCAGAGTTAAAATGAGCATACCACAGTGATATATGCACATGTTTGCAGTGGCACAGTTTGTAGTGTTTAAATTTTGGAAGCAACCCAAATGTCCATCAACCAGTGAATGATAAAAAAGGTGGTTTTTTATATCATGGAATATTACTCAGCCATAAAGAATGATAAGATTGAGACATTTAGAGCTTAATGGATGGACCCTGAGACCGTAATCATAAGTGAAATAAGTTGGACATGTGTAAATGTCACGTTATCTCTCTGGTGTGAGAAACTGAAGATGCAAATAAGAATATAAATATTCACTAGATACTGTGAAGTAGGAAGAAACTTCAAAAAGGAGCGGGCACTGGAGAGCGGGGAGGCGGGAAGGGAAGGAAAAAGAACAGAAGAAAGGAACGGGAGCCGAGCTTTGCGAGTGGGCGCAGAGGGGGCTCCAGGGGATGGGAACGGGGAAACGGGGGACGAGACGCCCCGCACAGCTGCGACTCCCTGTGGCGGCGGCCACCGCGCACCAACTGCACCGGTGCGCTCTGACGACCCAGGGAGGGAGGCGGCGCGGTCCCCCGCGACCCGGCTGCCG